GGTTTGAGGTGGGAGGGGCAGAGAGGGGCGGGGCTTCTGAGACGGGGGCGGGCTCTAAGAGAGAAATAAAGAGACTGAGAAAGCCAGAGACTCAGAAATGGGGAGGGGGCTAGGGTCTGATAAACAGGAGTGGGTTCCACAGGGAAGGGGAGGTAGGCACCAAAGAGCAAACGCAAGGGTGGGCATTAGGGAGAGCTAGAGAGCGCCAAGAAAGATCTGGAGAGGACAGGCCTCGAGGGTTGGTCACGAGGGATCGAGGGAAGGTGTAGGACCGCGATCCGCAGTGGGGGCGGCAGCGAGGGGGTAGCGCCCGGGTCTTCAGGGGACAAAGAACGAGGGTTATGAGGGGAAAGAAGAGAGTAAGGAAGGGAATGAAAGGGGGGACCATTCTGCAATCAGGCCTCCCCTCCAGGCCTGGGAGATATGGGGTTGTATGCTGTCAGAGTGTCCAGCCGAAACCAGGTTCTTAGAGCAAACGCCTCCTCCTTTATTTTTCTGGCTCTGACTGCACCCGGGACCCGCCCTCTCCCAGGAGGGGCAAGATCTTCAACCCCCTCTTGCCTTTGCCCCGTCCTCACTGAGCTACCTGCCAGGCTGCTTTTACCTGGGGTCTGCCTCCTTGGTTTTCTCTGGACAATCCCCTTATTCTTGCTTCTAGTCAAGGAAAAACGGGAATCCTGAGGTGAGCACCTTCATGGTATTTCTCCAAGTTGACCCCGACCCGGACAAGTACGTCCCTGGGTGGTGGCCCCCCTCTTCATCTGTCCCTGCCCCTCGGCCTCTCTGGGATCCCCTAACTCCTCTTCCCCTCAGGTTGTATGAAGCTCTCCTCTTCCTCGAGTGCACTAAAGTGTTTGGGTTGCATAAAATGAAATGTGTCTGCTTCCATCAAAATATTTGTCACATTGTTTGAGGCTCAGCTCGCGCTGCTCCACTGCTCCTCCTTCACCCTCCTTTATCCAGTCCACCAGGGAGTGCTCTGCCATTCAGAGGCCTCTGGCCGGTTGCTAACGATGACTCTCCAGTCTCTTTCTCTCCTGAGAGACCCCTTCCAGATCACACCCTCCCTTTTGACCTACCACGTTTCTTATGATTCTCCGGCGGCGTTCCGAGCCCAAGGTTGACTGTGCACACCTGGCCCTGAGCTGGGAGGAGAAGGACAGGAGGAGTCAAGGTGGGGTTGCGGGGGGCTCCAAGCACAGAGTATAGAGAATGACCCTCCCCATCACCAAAGAGGGAGCTAATTACTTTTTTTTAATAAATAGTATTTAAGCAGGGCAATCATGTGTCAGACCCTATGTAGAATGCTTTACATATGTGATCACACTCGATCTTCACATGGATCCAAAGAGGTAAAACCCATCATTACTCTCATTTTTGCACACGGAGAACTGAGACTGCGAAGTTAAGAGATTTGCCCCAAGTCACAAAAGTAATAAGTGGCAGAGACGGGATTCAAACCCTCAGCGGGCTCCCCAGCTCCCCAATCTCAATGCGTTGGAATCTCTAGATACTGTTTATCGTACAAACTGCTTGGGGAGGAGGCTCAGGGCAGCCAGGTCCTGCTCATCCAGGATTAGGCAGGGTGGTCCTCTTTTTCAGCTGTCAGCCTCCCGGTCTCCCGAGGCAGTCTCCTCGGTGTGATGAGCGACAAGGCTGGTGACCCGAGGGACACGTGCGCGGTCATTGGAGTATAATTTGTACAGAACCCCTCACCCCCACAGGACGAGCCCTTCCTCCGCTACGCCGCTAGCTGGTCCAGCACCCGCAGCCCTCGAGAATGGGCTGGGGAAACCGGCTGGCTGCCGGGGCGGAGGAGGGGGCGGGAGCGGCCGCCCCCGAGCTCGCCAGGGCGTCGGAGAGGCGCGCTCGCCGCTGCACGGCGCCCCGCCCCCCGCTCCGAAAGCGCGCCCGCTCCCCTGGCGCGGTGTGGCGTCTCTGTCAGCCCAGCCGGATTCTCCCCGCTTCGCTGGAGTGGAAAATAACGGCTTCAAACTTTGCAGAGAGGAGCTGGTGCCAGCACTTTAATTAACAGCCATCTTGGCCTGCGAGCCGGGGCCACCGGCTCGCCCCTCCCCAGGGCTCGCCAGGCCCCGCCCCGCCACCGCCCCCACCCGGGTCCCGAAAGAGGCCCCTGCGTCCCCTGCGCCCAGCGCCCCTTTTCCCCGGAGATCCGACTTGACTGACTGGAGGGCGTATGCTGCTTTGAGGGGTGTCTCTCCAGCTTAATACCCGAAGACTGCCCCAGACTCTCCCCTCCATTCTTAAAAGCCTGGCTGTCGAAGATTCTGGAATTAAAGACATGCATGCCATTCCAACCTGGTGATTTTAGGTAAACGATTTAACCTGCAGCGTCTTAAGTGTCCTCCCCTGGGAAAAAAGGTGGTTGTGAGGATTAGGTGAGATATAATATATGTAAAATGGCGGGTTTTGTATCTGACCCTTATTATGCACCTAGCAAGCAAGCTGTAGTTAATATAATTATTTTACCACAAGGTTAAGAAGGCCCTCTAACCACTTAAGTCCTTGGGTCTCCTCTTCCCTGCCATTTTTCAGCAGATTGTTGTGCTTGGCATTAGGAGAGGGAAGACAATGGGGCTGCACTTCCAGGTTCCAAGAGGGAACTAGAAGAGAGAAGAAGGAAGCCTGACAAGGCCAGGGGCCCAGATATTTAGGATGGGAAAGGGGTGAGCCACTGCACAGAGAAGGGCTGGTGGCACTGTTGCCAGCTGAGATGCTGTCAAGACTAGGGCTGAAGGTTTGGCTTTGCTTTCCCTCCTGGGGGTGTGAGGTCCTCCTACAGCTCCCTCATTCCAGGGGAGGGATAGGGTGCTGAGTGCTGGGGTGCTTTGGGGAGGGTACAGGGAAAGTCATAAGTAAGGCTCTTAACCTATGCATGGCTGCTTTAGGAAACTGGATGGCTGTTTTTGATATTTTGACTTTCTTTGAATGAATGTGAGTGGGTGTGAATGTGTAAGAAACTGTGTGTGTCTGGGTTTGTGAGTGAAGAGGGGTGCTAGGCCTTGACTCACCAGTTATCAAATCTGAATTCTTTTTATTTTAATTTTTTTCTTTTTGCATTTACTAGGCACCGTGGGATGTTGCTAGTAGCGATGTGTCCAAAAGGTCAGACCTATTTAGTGTCCCTAAGGATCTTACTGTTTGGCAGGGGACATAGGTATAAAGAAATTATATATGCTATAGTAATTATTGTAGCCAACTTTTTTTTGAGTACTTATTAAGTGCAAGATTCCATTCTAAGCACTTTATGTGGATTACCTTGTTTAAACTTAACAGTCTATTATCATGAATTTAAAACTATTACATGGCTTATGCCATTTAACAGGAAAAATCCTGAGAGGCAGGTACTATTGTTTTCTCCATTTTATGGCTGAGGAATCTAAAGGCTTGGGTGGAGGTTTGTACCAGTTGCTATGAAGCACAGATGAAGAACGGCCTATCCAGAGGAATCCAGGCAGACCTTCAGATGATGAGTCATTTTACATGGGTCTGCCCATCCATTCATCTATCCATCCATCCATGTATCCATCCTCCATTCATTCTATAACCCATTTTTAATTGAGTGCTCAACACATCTCTTGTTGTCACAGGACATAATGATGAGCAAGAAAAGGTTTCTGACTTCATGTAGTTTATAGTGTATCACTGGAACCCAGACAATTAAATAGGCCATTGCTATCAAGCCTGACAAGCATGTTACTTGGGAGTTCATGGAATGCACTTGAATTCATCTGGAGGCTGGAATCATGAGAAGCTTTCTGGATGAGGTGATTTTTAGATTAAGCCTCAACTGAAGAAGTCAGCAAGGTGCAGATGACACCAGAGACTGAGGAGGGAGGGAAGTGGGGGAAAGCATGTGCTAAGGACCCAGCTTGTAGGTCCTTTGTGGGCTGTGACAAGGAGTTTATAATTTATCCTAAGGGCATTTAGAAACTACTGAAGGATGTTGAGTGAGTGATACAATCAGATTTTTCAGGTTAGAATGATCACTCTGGCCACTATAAGAAGGATTAAAATAGAGTACGAGTGTTGATTAGTAAACTAAGTAAGAGGTAGATGCTGTACACCAGGTGAGAGCTGATAGTGGCCTGGTTTGGGAAGACAGGAGTCAGAACTGGCAGACTTGGTGATAAATTGAAGAAGATGGGGATGGGAGGGGCAGGAGAATTCCAAGTTTGTGGAAGGATCTTAAAATGTACATTAAAGGAATAAAGGATAGATGGACATTGTTGCTGTTCTCTGGGCACCACTGATATGTACCAGCTGCTTTGCATACTCTGTTGAATTCTCATTGTAAGTCTAAAGAATAAGCACTACCATATCCACATTGGAGGTGAGAATGCTGAGGCTCAGTGAGGTAAAGTAACTTACCTGGGATCACACAGTGGATAAGAGGAGGAGGCAGGATTGGAACTCAGGTCTGTTTGACTTCAGGAGGGCCTCCTCGATCCACCAAGCCCTGCAGGCACTTACCTGATGGGA